AACATATTTTTGGGGAAAAAAGAGTTGAACATTTTTTTTCATGTCCTGAGAAGAATAAAAGCACTTAAGAAAAAAATCTTGACCAAGGCTTTCATAATTCATGCATCAGAGGGTTAATATTGCTAATTAATTAAATCGTTAACCAATGTATAACTAATGTATATACCAATATTTAGTTTGTTGCTGAAGTCTTTCCTCTTCATTGGTGTCACAGAGCTGCAGAAAATCCACTTTCATTCAGCATTTAAACACAACATTAAAAAGACTCTGCATAACAACCATAACCTGTGTATAAAGCTTTTATAAATTGTCATATTTTTTTTAATTATTTTATATTGAGCATCATCAAAAATTAGTCGTCATATATTTTAAAATACAGCCTACTTGCTTGTCGTGAGCACGGCGTGGGCTGTTTTACATGAATCGTGCTGTTTTACAATAGGAGGCCGTTTCTACGCAGGAAGCGCTGTTTTCTATAAAACCTGAAACTGTGTGGAAAGATGTGATGCAGCGGCGGCAGCAGCGAGTGCACCAGCCTCAACTGTGCCACAAGTCTCAATGAGCACCTGTGAGACTCTCCGCCCCTCCCATCGACTATCTTCATGGATGTAATCTCCGACTTAACAACAGGTACTTGTAAGGTCCCAGATAAAGTAATTTCCCCAGACCTCGCTGAGCTTTTGGCAGGAGAGTCAGAGCAGAGCTCCAACCGCGCAAAGTCTCTAGGTAAGTCTCAGTCAGCGTGCTGATGAATGAACCTCTTCTTTATTAAATTAACTATACGTATTCAGATGTCTCACACTACAGTAATTAAATCTAAAGAGCTGCAGATTGGAGATTTTTTCCGGCCTAGGATGAGGCAGAGGACCAGTGATGTGTAATTTATATTCTGCGCGTAAATTGGGTAGTTTTTAAACGTCCTGCATCTTGAATAGATCTGTCTTGAGTACATTTATGTGTGTATATTCAGAAGTGTTTCTGCTCAGGCGTGGCAGATGTGTGCTTCAAGCTTGATCTGAATATCTGATCATCCGCCTGTTTGCCGCAGAGTGATCTTTCCACGGATGCCGCAGCGAACTTGGTTCAGCTGTTGGTATGATGCACGATGCTGTATCGCGAGGCACCGCACGGGACATATCTGCTGTCATTTACTGACACAGCAACCTGTCTCCGTGCTGCAAGTCACGTCATTTATCGGTGTACCAATGCGTGAGATAACGTGGATTTTCTCTCCCACCTTTTTTTTTTTTTTTTGCACGATGGCAGAAACGTGTGGCTGAGCTTTAAGCGTGAAGTTGATGAATAAATGACAAAGATAAGGTGAAAGTTTTCGTAAAGGGAACCGGATGTATTAAAATGTAAATCACTGATGCAGGTTTTGACTTTGCAAATTAGGTTTTGCGTGGCTGACTGTGGTTTTGGATCCCCCTGCTGAGTTTTATGTTGTGATCTGTGCTGTTAAAACAACACACGCTCAGGATGAAAAGAAGTACTGCAGGGGAGGAGTAAACAACAGGAAACCCCTTTCATATCAGATCCTCTGTGCTCATCACTGTCTACATATGTATTTATGTATATAAATCTGGACACTGGATTATTAGAATAAATATGTTTCTGAGCTTTAGGTTTTGGTAAATTTGCATATGCACTGAATTGAAACAGTTTTTTCTGCTTTATTTATTCATATAATTTATGTTTTTATACCACTGTCAGCAGATACCACTTTAGCAATAGTATACTTAATTAATTAAGATATATTGTCACATTTAAAATAATTTGTTCTAGGCTGTTCTAAGTATTTTTTTTTACCTGTGATGGTGTCAGGTATACAGATCAGGAGTTAATCCATTATATAAGAGAAAAGGGGGCAGGAAATCAGACTGAGTAACGTGTCCTTCTAAAGTGTTCCTAATCCTCCTCAGTACATTGAGTTCTACTCAACAAGTCATTCTTGTTTTAGATGCTCATCATTTGAGAAAATACAATCATTTTTCTCATTATACTGAATATATTCCTCAGCTGCAAGGTATTTTCTTTTCTAAAAAGTTTCATTTACAACAGTTATAAAGGTTAATTTCTTTTTCAAATGATTTTTTTTATGTCAGGAAACAAAAGTGACACACTAGTCTCACATTTCATTCCCATTTGCTTTTAGATTGTGTATCAGCCTTGTTGATACACAGCTTTATGATACAGCATCATGTGGTGCTGATGTGGGCCAAGCCCGGCATAGCTTTACACCTCCCTGTGTGCTAGTTACAGCGCGGATTAGTGCGCTAACCTTTTGTCAGCCAGACAGAGACCGGCTGACAAAAGCAGTCTCACCGGCTGCTCCCACCTGTAGACAGTCTGAGCAGCTCAGCAGACGCGTCAACCTTCATAGCTGCTTTGTTAGGACTTTTCAATAATCCCAGATGACTTTTTTGTTTACATTTACAATGACGAGGAAGCCTGTACACTGAGTCTGGATGGCTTTTGTTTGTTGCAGTTGCATGCAAATAAACTAAGGAAACAAGGGCAATGTGGATCTTTTCCCTTTGAGTGACATCTATTCTTCTGTCTTTTGCTTTTCCTTAACATCAAAAAGAATTCCCTGGCAAAGCACCTGCAGACATGGGTCGTCAAGAGGCCGACTATGTGTGGAAGAAGAACACTGAAAACATCCAAGAGGTTTTTGACTTCATGGAAGAGTTGGGATCGTAAGTATCATTTAACTCACTGTAAGATGACTTTGATTAAAGTTAAAAAATGTTTAAGTAACTGAACAGTTTTTTGCTTCCCTGGCGAATGCTTTGCACCATTAGATGGTTTATTTTACTGATACTGATGTGAACTGCAGTGGCTGGCATGATAATAGCCATCAGCATGCTGTTTGAATTAGAGGACAGATTACTGATTTGATTGGATTAACATGCTAAGGCTTACTGTACTTAAGTATTGGCAGCAAGATGCCCTAACTGTTAGACAACTAGGCGGATTTTCCAGAGGGATCCAGGCTTTGGCATCAGTGCAGCAGTTCATTCACAATTTTTTTTTGTAATTTTTTAAATTTGCTAATCATTGCTTTTTAGTTTTTATATGCAAACAAAACAGAGGAAAATGTAAATATTTGATTATAAATCTGGCACAAATAATAAGACAGTAGAATCGTTATTGAGGTCAGGGGTTCTCGAAGTTTTCATGACTGAGTGCCAACATATGATGGAGACTTGCACAGGAAAAATGTGATAATGTGTTAACGTGATATTCTGTGCCGGGTTTAAACAATTAGTGAAGTGACTTTAAATGAAAAAAAAAGCAGCAGTATTTATCAAAGTTAGGACAGTTTAATTTTCTATGAAGGGAAGAACAGAGCTGGAATTAATGAGAAGTGCTTCCAAGAACCGCTGGCACATTTGCAATTAAAAAATAAAAACTAAATAAGAATTCACCTAATGTTATTGCTTTCTAACGTCTAACTTTGTGCTGTACACATTCAGTCGACACTCGCTCACCTGCGCTCACCTAATTTTTGTCACGACGGTGATAAAAACCAGTGGCAGTGTTGAGTATTTTGCAATAGACTGGAGAACTACTGGTGAGAGACTAACATTAAATCATGATGTAAGCTAGAGTGCTGCCAGAGTGTGCTGAGGGCTGAAGAGGCTGCCAAGAGGTTTTATCTAACACATCGTCAATGATTGGACTGTGAAGGAGGCAACACCCTCCTGAGCAAAGAGCGTTATCTAATTTGGTTCAGTTCAGTTCTGTTGGTCTACAGCAATTACTTTTATTCCCCCAAACAATTTGAACACCCAAGAGTTTCACGTAAAAGTGGGAAAACAAATTTTAAAATTACTTGTAATGCGGTTATTTCTGTGGCACCTCCCCTAGAAGAGAAGACAGATTGGATTACTGCTGTCTGAGCCACCCAGTAAGTTTGCTTTCGGTGAACTCTCTGAATGATGCCTATTCCCGGGTGAACATTTTCTTTTTTTTGTGCTCTGTCACAATAAAAGCAAGAGACTCCAGAAGGGACTGGAGATTTTGCAGTCTTTCCCACTGGGCCTCATCAGACATTGTGTAAACAGCATCCTAATGGTTTCCTGGAAATAGGGACTGAGTTTATTCGGGGTTAAGAAGAACCACCAGACTGCATTGAAAAGCAGTGCGATTTTAGTCTGTACTGAATTTTAAGCACTCAGATTCACACAGTCGGGTGAATTCTTGCAATTTCTGATCGCTCCTAATCTTTTTGATCATGGTTGTTGCTTAGCTTTCATTTTCAGGTCTTGACCGGCAATTTTTCTTGAAAGTCAAAGTATTTTTTTCAAGTAGGTCCTTAGAACAAAAATCAAAGCAATTCAGGGACCCGATGTAAAGTAGTGCTGTAATGGGAAAGGGACAGCTTGTTCCTGACTGCCAAACTGAGCTGGAATTAGAGTTTATATGAACGTGGGAAAAGTGGTCTGCCGATAGTTCCTGACACCTGCCTGTGACCTGACCTACACATGGTCCGTTGCTGACCTTCTGTGCCTGGAGCCTGCCACCGTTTCCTTTGCGTCAGGGATAAAGCACCTAATCCACCCAGTAGAACAACTATTCCCAGACAACGCTGAAGATAGCATGGACACAGGAGCACAGCGCACAATAATAAGCCCCTGACATGTGAATTGTTAAGTCACAGAGGTCCTTACAAGAGCTTAATTAAACCCTTTGATATTGCTATTTCTGCCCTCAGTTGATTTTAAATTAGATGGTCTCTAAGAAGTCTGTATCAGAAAGTTTCCTTTCCTAAATGATGTAATACGACAGGGAGAAAAAAACAAAGTCCTTATTGACGGTTACACAACAGAAGCCTTTAAAGTCATTAAATGCAATTATGGACTAAATGTTTTTCTGGTGATCTTGTTTATACAGTAAATTAGAATCAAAACCTGTATGCGCAGTTAGCTTAGCTGGACTTTTACAGCTTTAGTATTTATCTATACAAAAATACATATGGTTTATGGAAGGCTCCACACTATTCACAGTCTCTGCAAATTCAGCTGCTTATCTCAGTTTCCAAACTAAGCACAGCTAACCAGCTCTTTATCATTTATTCAACATCAACCATTTGCTCACGTTTACAGCAACCTTCAACTTGACGTTGCCCACCAGAGACGCTTGCGAGAATGCATGTATGTAGATGTATCATGTCAAACTGGACATAAATAAATCTGCTAACCTCATAGTACAGTAAGTGAGTATGAGTCAATATGAGCCAGTATAATAAGTATGAATCAGTATATCCGATTGTACTCCTGAGAACAGCACAGGTGAATACACAGCTAGAGAGTAGGTGTTTGCATGCTCAATCCAGGGAGCTTAGTCACCTAAACCAAGCAGAATGTTCCAGTACTGAGAACACATCTGTGTGAAGTAATGTGAGAGAGGACATCTTTGTCCGACGTTTATGTTCTTAAAAAGAAAAACAAACAAAATAATGGAAATGAATGTTCCAGTCTCATCTCCTAACTCTGCAGGAAGAAAACAGCCTATTTCCCAATGTCCTACTAACCCTGCAGCACTTCCTCATTCAGGAAATGGGACTTGCATTATTATATTTTAAATCATAAAGAAAATAAAAATAGGATGTGTCATTAATTAAAAAATAATGTGTTTAAAACATGAGCCCTTCAAATAAAAGTTGGCTGAAAACCAATAACATTTAATGTATGCACAAATTGAGAAATTGAACGAAGCAATAGCTTCTCCCAGTTGCACGAGAGCAATATAAAAGTAGACACACAGGAGTCCAATGTTCTGTGTTGTTAATGTGCCCATGTTTTATTAACAACAGCCCTCTAGTAATAAGCGAGAAGGCTTATTTCCCCTTACCAAGGGAGACTTTGTGTGTTGTTTCAAAGCAATCAGTGAAGGCATCATCAGTAATGTATTTTCAATATGTGTTTATGTGTTAATGAGCAGTGGGGCATTCTCAGAGGTTTACATGGTGAAGGAGAAGAAGACGGGAAAAAATTTCGCCATGAAGTGTGTGAAAAAGAAACAGAAGAGGGATCTGAATCTGGAGAATGAGATCGCTGTGCTGCGAAGGTAATTCACATGTGAATTTTTATGAGCCTCCAGCTTTCATCTCTCAGACGTGAGCACAGGAGGAGGATTGCCATTGATGTGGGGGGTTTTTTGGATGTTGTTTGGGTTGAAAGTATGTGGAACTTTGTGATAGGTAAAAAAGCAATGTCATAATGAAAGCATCATGTTATTTTTACAGAATTAAACATGAGAACGTTGTGGGGCTGGAGGATTTCTATGAAAGTCGAACGCATTACTATCTTGTCATGCAGCTGTGAGTATTCCAGATTATGTGTCCAATATTATCAAATTATCACCATAAAAGGAAAAGGAGGATATAGTTTTAATGCTGGCGGTGGCTCTGTACCAGGGTTTCAGGCGGTGAGCTATTTGACCGTATCCTGGATCGGGGGGTGTACTCAGAGAAGGATGCCAGCAGAGTGATTCAGCAGGTGCTGGAGGCCGTCAGCTATCTGCACCAAAACGGAATAGTGCATCGGGACCTGAAGGTATGGCTGATAATATCCCAAACACTAGTGAAATATAAGGTTTTTCTACTTTAAATCACATTTGACTCATTTGTATCATGCTTACTCCTTAAACCCGAGGGTACATTAGATAGTAAGATACACAACATACAGTATTATAAAGAAAAGCCCAACAATTTGCCTTCTTGACGAAGCATTTTGCAGCATAATGGAGACCTCAGGGGGAAATTGGTTGGGATAAGGTGACAGAGAAAAGGGAAAAGATGTCCATGGAGAGATGAAAAATGATATGGTGTTTGGCTGGCTGATGGGACTTTTAACACCAGGAATATTTAGCTTTAAAGACAGATATACACACTCAGAGGAAAGAAACAATAATGTGCAATAGCAGGATCTAAATGAATGATATACATGTGGAGGAGACATTCTCCTTACATCATGGGAAATCCTCCAGCAGCCTGAGTCTTTAGCCGCAGGAGAGAGGATTTCTGAAGGCTCTGCCTGCCATTGTAGTTTCTAAACTGGAGGAACCACAATTAAACCTGCTCTCTGACAGCAGTTCTAAAGTGGGACAATATGCTACTATGAGGACTTTAAGACATGTTGAAGCAAAACCAATTCAGTGGTTCACAGGGAGCCAATGAAGAAAATCTAATATGGGCAAATGAAGAGAATCATTTTAGCTACTAACTCCATTGTGTGGCTCAGCTGGAGACTGCTGCAGCCGTTAGGTAACAAGAAATTACAATAGTCCAGCCTAGAAATAATAAATGGCCTGATTAGTTTCTCAGTGTCACTCTGAGACACAGTATTATGCAGGTGAAAGAGGGCCCTCCTGGAGACTTTTTATGTGCAGGTTAAAAGACATATGTTGGTCAAAAGTGAGCTTTAAGGGTTTAGTGGTGCTTGAAAACTGAGGTACTGGCATTCATAGAAACTATCTGGTAAGATGGTGTGTTAGAACCGTAAAAGGTAATGAATTACTGGATCTATAACTATCAGCTTATTGATGGAACAGCCTGGCTGCCTTAGGAGTACCCATTGTGACTTATCCATCTGGTAATTATCCATACCTGAATATCATTTACAGGGTCATATGTTGAAGGGGTTTTTAATTCTTAGCTCATCAGAAAAACTAACTTAACCTTTGAGAGAAATTCTTAGAGAAATAATTTGACATAGTTGACATTATTTAAGATAAGATAAGATAAGATAGAACTTTATTAATCCCTCGGGTGGGTTCCTCTGGGAAATTCGATTTCCAAAAAAAGCACAGCAACGACCGAAGTTACAGTTACAGTTGTATTTAGCATACAAATTAAGAGCGGTTTTACCTTTGCAAAACAGTAGGTACCCCAAAGCTCAACTGTTACTTGAAGTCCAGACCTCATTAATCATATAGATAATACTGCTTTGATTTTTTTCCCCCCTCTTGCTTTGGCTTAATTTACAACATTATCACTTTGACAGAAAGTAAGATATTTAAGAATTTGTTCCACCACAGGTGAAATAACTATTTGAGAAGTTCTTCATTGAGGACATCAGTGTGTGAACAGCTCTCGTCCCTGCTTTTTTCCCTTGTGCAGCCCGAGAACATCCTGTACTACAGCCAGGAGGAAAACTCCAAGATCATGATCAGTGATTTCGGCCTGTCAAAGATGGTAGACAATGGCATCATGTCGACAGCCTGTGGCACCCCAGGATATGTTGGTAAGAAAACATGTCATTCTAGAGGAATAATCTCACACTCACTGAGTTAGACCCTCAGAGTGGGTCATACTGCATGTTACCGATGCTTCACGAGCTTTTGAGCAATCACTGATATAGCTTTAAAAATTTCTCTAACCAGCTCCTGAAGTTTTGGCACAGAAGCCCTACAGCAACGCCGTTGACTGCTGGTCTATCGGAGTCATCACCTACATCCTGTAAGTAGAAAGCTATTCACCACCTGCTCCAGATTTTTCTCTTAGTAACAAGACGATCAGATTAAAGGCCCCAGCTGTGTCTTATGCAATGACACAGTTACCTATATACAGAAAAATGGAGCACATTGAGTCCACGCATGTACCATGTAGGGGATTTTTTTCACAGATGCTAAATGTTTGTATTTATTTGGTTTTTTCAGACTTTGCGGTTACCCCCCTTTTTATGAAGAAAGTGAGTCACGGCTCTTCTCCAAGATCATGAAGGCACAGTATGAGTTTGACTCACCATTCTGGGACGACATCTCTGAATCCGGTAATTACACTGAAAGATGGCACACACCGACTGTGTTTCTAATCAGCGTTGTCTAAGCTCTAATGTATCTATTGTTTTTTTCTGCAGCCAAGGATTTTATTCGTAACATGATGCAGAAGAATCCCAAGATGCGCTACACTACAGAGCTAGCGCTCAGACATCCATGGTGACTACCACTCATACACTACACTTGTATTATGGAAACTTATTATGCTCCTTTCACCCATGTTGACATTTTTTGGACTTTTTGGCATTATTTATAGTTTACTGTAATCCTTTTTTATCTGACAATCAGTTCATTCACAGTCTTCAACAAGACAATTTAGCATTTTCTCTCTTTTTATCAGATCCTCTATCACATTAGGGACATTTGCTCTCACTGACATGACCCAATGCCAAAAGCAGACAAAAAAACAGCATTTAAACCTCATTATCTGAGATTCTGATTATATTTAATATGAAAACCCACCCCAAAAGTTAATTCTGTTCATCACGACGTAGCGTTTTTTACAGTGGGAGAAATGTTTCATTTGCCTAATGACTGAAATTAGCACCATTGAAGGAACAATGGGCTGGGAGTTCAGTTCCTTGATCATTAATATGCAAATTCTAATGAGCATTGATCAAAGACCACTGATCAATGGCCATGAGTACCATTTGCAGAGAGTTGGGGAATGGCTGCAATCAAACCTGCAGTCCGCTGAAACTGAAGACATCACTGAAGACGCTACGTCCAGATAAACAGAATCAACTTTTGGGGATTTACTTTCCTGGATGATTGAGCATGCATCAAGACATGAAAACCCACCATTGTACCAGTATAGTTGTGACAAAACAATAATTACATATTATCTTTTATTAATGACTCCCTTTTTGTAATATAAGTACATATTTTGTGCAGTATAGTAGCATATAGTAGCAAAATTCACAACTGTCACTGAATTATTACGTTGTAACAGTTAATGTGTAATAGTCCATGAAATGTCATCTAAGCCTGATCATAAAATAACTTTCTACAATTAACATTTTAGTGGCACTGCACACAGGAGGCATCAATCTTCCTGCCCAGCACCAGTTACAAATGCATTCAGAATTAATCTCTACCTAAAATAAATTTAAGCTTTCTGTGCCGTCATTCGTTTTCCAGGATTATTGGGAAGACAGCTCGGAGCCAGGACATCTACTATTCCGTCAGCGTTCAGATTCAAAAGAACTTTGCCAAGTCCAAGTGGAAGGTTAGTCTGCACGGATTTCTTGGCTTCAGTGTGGTAACCTTACTGAAGACCTGCAGTTTATAGTAGATTAATCGGGTGCCAACCTAAATCCTTCCTGGCCAGGGAGACTTTAATAAGATACTGTTTAGTAATCGAGGGCACTAAGGGCTGATGTAGTGCATTCACTGCCTAGGAAATCAAATGCACTTGGCTGCTCAATGGTAAAAAAAAGAAGAAAAAGAAAAGATCCTAAAATATGAATATATAATTTATCAATCAACGATAAATGAACAAGACATTTCATTTAATGTCTACTCAATATCACCATATATAAGGACATCTAAAGTGAAGCTAGGCTATTTTTCAACCTCTTTTTTATATTCGCTTTTACAGCAAGCCTACAATGCTGCTGTTGCCATCAACCACATGAAGAAGCTGCAGCTGGCCCACTCAGAGCAGGTCCTGAGGCAGGCCAGCATCCCAGACATCAGGGTCATCGACGTGTCCTCCCCAACGAAAAACCGGAAACATCTTGATCCAGACAAGGTTGAGCCCAAGGTGCCAGAGGTCAACGGGAGTGTGCAAGGGACACATCACATGTCCTTGCCCACAAGCCATGTTGAACTAAAGAGCCACTGCCACCCACTGAAGACCAGTCAGAGCCATTGCAGTGCACAACACGCACCTACAATAGCTGAACAGGGAAAGCATGTGTACCACTCAGAGCCTGCCAACCTGAATGGGTTTGTAGCTGTTTTATATCAAATTGTGACCTTTGACCTTTTGAGTTTATAATATGGCTGACTAAAACATTTCTCTTTTGCTTTTAGATACGGTAAAAAAAACAATAATAGCAAGACCATAACAGGTGTTTGCGCCATCATGTGAAAGCTGCACAGAGTTTACATGGAAATAAAACATTTTACCTGGTAGGTACACTTAAAGCATGTGGATATAATGAACAAATACATTAAACTGTTTTTTAAATTACACTTTTATTATTAAACTACAGTTTAATGGTGAAAATTTTATTTCTCACCCTGAATGTATTTCTGCCCTCTACAGGTCAGTGTTGCTGTTTTGACCCAGCATACAGCTGGTTTGCGTCAGCAGCTCCCACGACAAGTGGTTGATTCAAGCGGTGTGGGAGATCCACAGTCTGTGTGGAGCATTTTATTTTGGAGAGAGTGCCTAGGAAGCTTCCCCAAAACCACACCAAAGTACACAAACCACAACGAAACTCACACGCTCAGATGCACGAGTCTCATTTTTAACCAGAACATTTTTGACAGTATTGAACAGAACTGTGTGATCTAGGAGGGAAAGCAATGGATTAAATGGGCTCACCTCTAGCCGGGTTTTGCATGAATATCCATGTTGTTTATGGTGACGATGTTCCTGACCACTGGTTTTTGATGGGGCAGAAGTCAGATCATCCGAACACTTTGTGTTCATGGTTCCATGCTTAAAATAATACACACAATGACGTCAATGACAATTATTGTACTTGAAGAAAACCGCATGCTTACTGCATCCAATAAGCCATACTGATGTAATTTAATATGGTAAAGTTGTCTCATATTTTTGTTACTTTCTTTAAGTTAATTGTTTCGCTAATTTATTTTTTTTATTATTTGCTTCTTTTTAAAAAAAAATAAAATAGAATAGAGCAGATCAAATTCAAATTTGAAATAAAAAAAATATATAACAATGTATATTTAAACAAACCTATCATTAACAGTGTAAATGCCACAAGTATATTCATTAAATGCCATAAACCTATTAGAACTTTTACATTCAGGTAAAGTCTATTGTTAGAAATGTTTATTCACTTATTGTAAGCGGTTTACTTTGGGCAGTCTGCTGTTTGTCTTGGTATGTGCTTTGTAATGATGGATTTAACATATATTAATGTTATATATGTATTATGCTGGGAATCCTGTATACTCAAAAATAAAGGATCTGCATTTGTTTTGCTGTGGTTGTTTTACCTTCACTCCTGGTAAACAAATTAATGGTAGACTTTGCAAAATTAAATTGAGCTATTGCCAGTACATACACTAGCTAATCAATCACAGTATAATCAGCCGGCAGCTCAATGCATGGTCAAGATGAGAATACAAAGCAAGGTGATTTGCAGTAAGTTACTTTGAACGTAGCATTGTTGCTTGTGCCAGATGAGCTGGTCTGCATATTTTACAAAATACTGATCCTTTTTAGCACATTTAGCACCACATTGAATCCTGAAGCTGATGGGCAACAGCAGCAGAAGGCCACACTGGATCCCTGCCAGGTAGGCAACAGGAAACTCCGGCTACAGTTTGAACAGGCTTTGTTCAGACGTGTTTACTTTCTAATAATA